CCCCTCGATCCCAAATCATTGAGGCCAACTTCTAGCCATAGAATAATGGCGCGGCGCGGCGCTAAATAACTTCTATTTGATACACTTGGCACATTGGCGCTGATGCTTATTACAGTCCTTCCCCCTCCACTCGAGTTAGCTATCTATAGTTATCTATTGTCTGTGGATTGCGCTATCTATACTTGTTCTTATCTATGGACTTGACAATTGAGCAATTGAACTGTACCAATGTAAATGTTAACTTTTAACCATTTATGGTATTTATTTATTATTTTAACCATTATAATTAAAATAGTTATTGATTTAATTTTATTTTCAATTAAACAGTAAACTCTTTTAAAGACTGATTTTGATCTACTACTAATACCGAATACCCTACACCTGTTACAACCATTAGGTAAGTTAGGTTAAAAGAATTACTCATTTGTTTACAAATTCTTCAAAATTTATTTCATTTTGCGCTTTCTTTTAAGTTACGTTGAAACCGTCTGAATGAAGTGAAGATGTAATTTAAAGTATTGCAAATACTAAACTTGTGTTTTTTTTTAACTCGTCAGTGATGGCAGTATACCATTAATAACACATTTCATAATTTGGAATTGTACTCGTATAGTAATATTCTATATCTACAAATATACTCCTGTCCTGTAGTTACTGTATACAGAGTTTATTCTTACTCAAGTTACTCATGTCTTCGATGTTTTAGGATGTGAATGAAATTTTAGTACTCAAAATACATTGCATCTGAAGGAAACAATTTATACAAGAAAGTAATTTGTCCATAATAATTGATCCAAAAGGATATGATAATCAAGAGCAGAAGCCGAGCCAGTTCAGGAAAGGTATTCACTTTTATGTAGAGTATTATAATAATTTTCTTATTAAATAAAAGTATTATAATTAAAACTGGAAAATTTTAGGTTATTAATGTCTCACTACTAACAATAAGTTTTTATATTATAATGATAACAGTTGAAATATGACGGGATATGGAGTCTCACAGCTATTTTACGCATCTCTCAACAGAGTTGCTTATAAAAATCTTCCATTTTTTGGATATATCTGACTTATGCAAATTAAAACAAACTTGTAAGCGATTTAACGAAGTAATACTTTCTTGGGATTATGTATTACTAAAGAACATATACCCACTTGTAACAAATCAACAAAGCAATATTTTTTTGTCAAGGTGAATAATAATACTAGCAACTAATTTATTGGATTGCTAACAATGAATATTTTTATTTTTCTAGATGTCAGCAACATTTATCTGTTTTTGAAAAAATTAGAATTAGTAAAAATTGGAAAATTGGACGATACAAAGAAAAAGATTTATTATTTGTTAAAAGAAGGTACATGCCCTGGCTTTACTTAACTGATAAATCTGTGTGGATAAGTAGAGGAAGAAATATTTATTGTTACGAACGATTCAGAGTCAATGTCTCTAGAACAAAAGTCATCTTCCAAGGCAGAAGTATTGCCGATGTTGGACATTTTCAAATAAAAAATAATTTTATTGTGACTGGACAAAGGTATGTAAATATATAAACAGGGTTCGTAGGGGCTGCGAAAACCGGAAATACCGGGAAAAGACAGGGAATTCGTTATTCTTCATGAAAAACAGGGAATAGTCAGATAATTTTAAAAAGATTCATAAAAGTCAGGGAATTTGATGTTTGCACTGGAAATTTTGCGAAAGCCGGCCCTGGATTCTTGAAAAAGAAAACTATTTGTGGTTTTGAAACCTTTGGGTATAAGAAAGATTATGGAGTCCAGTCGTGAAAAAGTTTAATGCATAAACACCAATTAGTATGTAAAAATGAACTACAAGTGACCTGGATTTTTTTATATGTCAGGGAAAACCTGGAAAAGTCAGGGAATTCCTTATTACTTTTGAACTATCAACCCTGAATAAATATATGTATTTAAATTTAATTATAAAATAATGGCGATAAAATTTAATTTCTTATAATATTCCATAATAATAATAGTAATCATAATAATATCTTTACTCCTCATTTTAATCACAAGGATTAGCCCAGAAGTCAAAGACTTGTGTGAGAGAGGGGGCAACATATTATTATTCAGTAGGCTGCATGTGCGTTCAAGAACGATTTACTTTGGTAAGCCCTAACCACCATTGTGCAGGAATAAAAGAAATAACCGATAACAATATTTCTCACATTAACCCTAGCCAACACTCTTTCACTCTAACATCTTTTCTAATTGAAAAGGACTCATCTGTATAAAGTTAAATTTTATAGGAGGACAAAAAAACTGTTGTATATGTAATAAACATTACAAGCTAGATTTCCGTTTGAGCACTAGTAGCACAATATTACCCTTTTCATACCAAACGATGAGACTTCGTTAAGGATCTAATAAATAAATATAAAATAAAAATGGCCGAATTTGTCGTTTCTACCATTTTCCAAGTAACCAATCAATTGTAACTTTGATAACCTCTGCAAAAACAGGTACATAAAGAAAAGTGGCACAAGACCTATTAATTTTATAAAAATACATCCTCTGTGGGCAATGGATTGATTTACTTTTTTGTGTAACACTGTATTTATTTGTACAATCACTGTTAAGTTTTATTAAGCGTAAATGTAAAAGAATATAACAAAAAGAATATAAACCTAATTGCTGCCATCAGGTGAATGTTGGAAAGGATAATTACAAATTGCAATTATATTTGCAAAATTTGTCAGTTATATACAATTCTTGTCTTCAAATTTGAACTTAAATAGTATGTACAAATTGTTTTTCTTTATAGCTTTTATTTTTTTTAAATTCGTAAGTTTATATAATGATCAAATAAATAGCCGTATTATTAATTCATTTTTCAAACTGTAACCTAAACTAAAGCAGATCTGAGGATTACAATTACGATTAAATTGAACTAGCAGTTTACTAATTAACTAGTTCTGTTTACCCAAAAAAACTAGACAAATACGCTGATGATACGTCATTTATGACATATCATCAACGTATCATCAAATACAAATATTCACTTGTCTTTATACAGTATGTAACTTGGGAATGATTCCAGAAGCTCTCAATAAGTTTTAACAGTTCTAATTTATTATTAATTTTAAGTGACGTTTTGCGGTTTCAACAATTTGATCGATTGAAATAAAATTTTTTATAATTTTTTATTTTTAGGGATGGCAGCATGTGGCTCACTTCTCTGCAAGACAGAAAAGTAATTTTCGATGAGAAAGAGTGCCATGAATCTGATATAAATTCCGTTGATATTTCTCTTAGTGGGGATATTATTGTGTCTGGTTCTCGAGACAACAGGTTTAAAGTTTGGAGGGTGGATTATGACACGGACACAGGTGCCTTAAAAAAATCACATGATCAAGTTTTTTATGATAGAGTATTACGAGTTTCTTTATCAGATGACCAACCCTTATTAGCAGTTGGCACATCCGGAAATAATTACAGAGCTACTTTATTTGTCTACGATCTAGAAAGGTGAGCAATACCATATGTGATTAAATAAATAATTCCACATTAATGATTTCGATTTAATTATTTTCATCGTAGAATTTTGGATCCAGTAGAACTTTCCGCCTCTCGCTTCGGTTCTGGTGTGTTAGATTTGAAATGGGATACCCCGCATACTATATGGTCATGTGGATATGACACCTGTTTAAGGAGATGGGACCTTCGAACAGGTAAATCAGAACAAAACTTTTATGATCCACATGCCTCCGTAGTATACTGTTTGGAATATGATTATTATAATACCATAATGACGGGTACTCAATCTTACGGACGAGTTATTTTATGGGACATCCGGCAACCACGTAGTGTTCAAGTAAGTGCAGTTTAATTATATTAAAAAATGTTCTTATATTGTAATTTTAAGTTTGATAGCATATAAATATAATTATTTATACTTATGGCCAGCAGACTCATGAAAATTCCAAACGTACATTGGAACAATTTGTGGCCTAAAAGCAAAAGTCGTCCTCTATATCAGTGGAAAAAAATTGCATTTAATTTTTTTTACATTCCTCAACTTTTGAATTAAAAAAGAATTTCTGAACACATTTTTTAATCAGCTTTTTAAATTACAACCTACATTTTCATACTTTAGTTTAGTTTTAATAGTACCACTACTTCTGTAATTTTACAGATTCATGAATATTTTTTTGTTCACTTGTCACAGCAATCCCTCGGGTATGGTAACGAAACTGTTGAATTGTGCCAATAAATTCAAATGCATGGTTTTGTCATTAGTTCATGTACTGTCAATGTGTTATAAGACGACTTTTCTGAATGATCACAGAATAATATGAACTTTCCCAGTATGGTTCTCAAATTCTGTAATTCTAACTTCAAGTCAGTCTGTTGGCCTTTAGTACGTTGTCACCAAAAATAAATTAATTCAAATTGCAATCTAGTTATTAAAAACATATACATGGTTTTTTGCATTTCTGAATCCTTACAGTTTTTTTCCAGTCTAAAAAAATAACAAAAATTATGGAGTTACAATTATTTTAGATCATCCGATACATACTAGATTATAATTAATTATTTTTTTTAATATGTATTTATCAAAAATAAAACAAATTTTTTATAATTTGAATTTTTGATACCTATATAATTTTTTTATATGTTTTATTTTCAAATGAGAAAGTATATTATATATATTTTTTCTCAATTTTCAGTTGTATTTTATGGGTTGTTGCAAAGGTAATGGTACTAAAAATTCTCCGATTTATAGTTTGTCATTCGACTCAGAGTGCCTCTTTACTGCTACCGACCGAAACTTAAATGTTCTTGATTTTTCTGTGTATAATGGGGTTGTAGAGGACTATTCATTTTGTTGTACTTATTAAGACAGTATATTTATTTCTCATAAATTGTAAATAGTTTACTAATTAATCATTAATATTCGTGTGAAATACGAATACCTAATGTTTTTTTAAACAATAATTATGAATTAAATTTTGTAAATAAATATTTTAGAAGAAAGAGATTTCATTATCTTATACTGATTCTTTTTCTTTAACGTTAAATAAGAAATTTGCAAAATATTATTTATAAATTACGAGTATACCTGCTTAACGAACAAATTACTACTATAGAACTGAAAAATTATTACTTAACAAGACTTCAAAAAAGTAAATTTATTTTTAATGTCTTATATTTTCTCTATTACTCTTACAAATGGAATAAACTATGTATATGAATTCCAGAAAAGGGATTTTTTATAATGTCTATGTATATCATGATCAACCTCTGTATAATAATAATAATAATAATAATAATAATCATAATGATAATGATAATGATAATGATAATGATAATGATAATGATAATGATAATGATAATAAAATATTTTTAATAAAATTTAAAGTGACTATGCACTTCCATCCATTATCATTAAATGTAGTTACTTTTTATTTACCTGACAAAACTTAAGACATCATTCATCTTCTGGAAATTATGGCAAATGTATTGGTGAAAATTAGTGATATAAAAAAAATATAGGGATCTACAGGCAGCACTTTTTTTAGGTGTATGGCTTTTAAAAAATTCAAATAAATACAGGCATATGCTCACAAAAATTTAATTTTAACTTTTATAAGTTCTTCACTCGTAAGTTCGTTGTTTGTTTTACCGGTTTTGCCCTTACTAGCTTCATCTTTCTTGCATCATTAGGCGCCCGACTTCTCTTTCTAGAGCCCGTCCATAATATACCGTCTATGCGTCTATCGCTTAGAATGCCTACTGATGAAAATGCTCACCAACCAATATCCCATATCCTTTACCAAACTCATAAAATCCTACCTACACCACCGAAAATTCCGCATCCAAATCCAAGATTCCCTTTCCACCACCCGTCCCATGGAGGCCGGTGTCCCCCAGGGCACTGTCCTGTCTCCACACCTATACACCATATACAACTCCGACATCCCACATCCCCCCAACACCAACATATACTTATACGCCGACGACCTGACAATCACATCCCAATCCGTAGATCCTAGATATTCCGTCTCCCTCCTCCAAAACTCCTTAGACCAACTTGAAACCTGGTGCAACAGGTGGAAAGTCAAAATTAATCCCAACAAAAGTTCGGCTATCCTTTTTACCAAACGAAAAATCCCACAAAACCTCGACAGACTGACACTATCCCAGGAACCTATCTCCTGGAATCGACAAACACGATACCTGGGCGTGACGATGGACCAGCGTCTCACGTGGAAACCGCACATCGTGGAGACGGTGGCGCGAGCGAAGACCACCAGGGCTAGGCTCTATCCCTTACTCAAAGGTGGAAACACCCTCAGTTTAAGGAATAAGCGAACGCTTATCAAGGTGGTACTTCAACCGCAGCTAACCTACGCCTCCACGGCGTGGGGTCACGCGGCAAAAAGCCACTTAAAGTCATTACAGGCTGTGGAAAACATAGCCCTCCGCACGGCCACCGACGCGCCCTGGTACGTAAGAAACACTGACATATTACGAGACTTACAATACACAAACGCTACACAGACAATAAGACAAAACGCGGAGAAACGGTTTGACGTAGCCGCTAGACATGACAATCCCCTCCTCAGGCAAGCCGTTGACTACGTACCCGACGTGACCGACAAACACAAAAGACCTAGACACCAACTTTTTGACCCTGGGTGACCACCCCAATGACCCCCCCCCTGTCCGCTAACCTTTTCTGTTTCAGAGACAGCCAGGATCAAGAAACGAAGACAACGACACACACACACACATACACACCCCCATACCCTCCTTACCCCTCCCCTCCCGCGCTAGCCTAAGGGCCACCTTAGTAAAGCGCATCCCAGGCTGCATAGCCGCACTACCCTACCCAACCATACCACACATAAACATAACACTACCCCCGGGGTTTACACAGACGAGCCGGCGAAGCAAGAAGAGCGCCAGAAGAAAGGGCCCTAGCCGGCGGGGCCCAGCCAGGACAAAAGGAGGTCCCACAAAGCGCCTACACCGGCCGCATTTGCGGTCGGGGTAGACGACGGATGGGGCCCACCTACGAAGGCTGTCCAGGCCTACACGAGATGAGGCAGGATAAAGAGGGATAATCCCCCTCGATCCCAAATCATTGAGGCCAATTTCTAGCCATAGAATAATGGCGGCGCGCTTAGAATATAAAATATTTATTTCTAAGGTCTGTGGATCTATGGGTAACACTGACTGCTGTCAAATGTCAGGAATTGAGTTTTGTGTTTGCGCACAAATAAAAATTAACTTGCTTTGTTTTCGTAATCTGTGGCATTTGCGCTACTCATTTTATTATCTGTCAGTTCTAAATATAAACATAATTTATAAATTAGAATATTGAGTGGTATAGAATAAGTAATTTTCTATGTGTTTAAATGTTCAGTATACCTGCTGAAAAACTTCCAGACGTTTTAAAAGATGAAAAAAGAATCAACGTTATATTTGCACCTCTTAGGAACAAAACTGTCAATCCAAAGGACTGGGAAAATAAAATATCATCCTGGAAAACTATTATAAAAATTTATTGCGATACGCACGATGTTTATTCATTTACATTGTCATCTCTGAATAATGTATTTATTAGAAATGGAAGGCCCCCAAGTTGTCTTCGTGAAGTCATTACAGAAATGGCTAAAGACGGAGAGATACAAATTATGGAGGTTTTCTTAAAGAAGAGTTCTGAAAGCTGGAGTGGTTGGGCAACGGATATTTTAATCAAAAGGCCATTATCTTGGTCTTACAATAAACTAAAAAATACCCTATTTACAGAAATTGATCATGATTGTGCATATGTACATTTAAATGTAGTAAATTCAAAGTGTGATACTCTATTATCACGTATACCAGATAATTTCAAAAATAAATTGATAAGTCTTAAAGATTTGCTAACCATCTTGGATAAAAAATCTACTGATGTTGATAGTATTAAATTACTCCTACATAATTTGACAAATCAACATAAATTGGATACTGTAATATTAAATGATAAGAATAAGAAAGATGTACTTGAAACGGTGCTTATAAAATTTGCTAATGGTGAAAAAGTTCATCCAGTATCAGAAATTGATATTGGTATATATACTCTCGAGAAAAATGAAAAGGTAATTTCTAAAAACATTGAAAATTTGGAAGATGAAATACAGAAGTGTATTAATGAAGCGAAAATACATCTATCAAAAAATCACAGGCAAATGGTAAATATTTTAAATAATAGAAAATATGTTTTTATATGTTGCTTATGTATTTTAGGCTAAAACCGCTCTTAGAAAAAAACATGAATTAGAAAAGAGAGTAGAAAAAAAAGCTAATGCTTTACATAATATTCAAACTTTATTGGAACAAATACATGAAACACACACTGACGCTCATGTTTGGGAAGCTTATAAAAACGCCCTCTCTGCATTTAACACGACTTTTAAAGATACTGGAATGACGGAAGATGTAATAGAAGATACAATGATTCGCTTAGGAGATGTAAGTTCATTATTCTTTTTTTTACCAAATAAAATGGTATGTTTTTCAAACATATGTTGTGGTTTATTTGATACTGTTTGTTGCTATTCACATGATATTCATTTTAGGTGTTAGAAATGCATAATGATATACAAACAGCTCTGGCCAGGCCAGCAGTAGAAACAGATGACACCGACTTGGAGGAAGAATTGGCTGAACTGATAAAAGACGATGCTAATAACCCACCACCAGATGATAGTGGAATTACTAGTGATTTAGAAAATCAGTTACAAAAATTAACTCTAAATTTGCCAGATGTGCCCGATAAGAGTCCTAATGTGTCGATTAAAGAATTGTCAACAAATAATTAATTGCTTTTAGATACTACACATAAATATTATACTTACGCTTCCTTTTATTTTTTTCTGTAAATATTAATAAACAATTTAACTTATAGCAAGTATTATTTTATTATTTTTTTTATTTATTTTCATTTAAATGATTTTATTGGAGGTTGGTAAGAAGTTATAATATGATTATGAATTGATTCGAAAAGTGTTACACTTATAGTTGCAATCTTTTTTTTAAAATCAGCTGATAGATATAAAACAGACATTTTCTTATTCATAAAATTTTTTTTATTTAAAATTACGTTATTAAGAAATATAAAAAAAGTGGAATGTATCAAATTAAAATAGAATAACTTCGTAAAAAAAATAATTTTGTGAAAAATAAAACATTCTGTATCAGACGATTATGAAAAAAAAAGAAAAAATTACATGTGGTCTAATATACTGTGTACTGTGTATAGAACTACCACGCATTCTTGGGGTCAAAATAAGACAATTTGACTAAACACTGAATTTACCTTTAAGCAGTCGCTAGAGATCATCAAAGCTAGTAAAATTGGAACACCAGTCTTTTGTCACTTTTTGACAGTAATTGAAGTAGTGACGGCTGTAAGACCATTCACTTAAAAATGGGTAACTTACCAAAGAATGAGGTCACTTTTGACCAATTATCGCTTATTTAAAATTTAAAAGAATAGTTTATTTAAATTGGTTTTTATTAAATTTATTTCAAAATTGTTTTTGTATTTTATTAAATGTTAACATTCCACGCAAAATGCTACCTTTGATTACATTTAAAAAAGTAAAGTAATTATCAACAAATAATACACAGGGTGATTCACAAACGGTGACCAAAAATGAAACCTCGTATTTTGTGAATTTTAAAGGGTCTTTCATATAAAATTTTTATCTAAGATGCTTCGTTAAAAAGGTACAGGGTGTTAAACATAAAATTTTTAATTTTTTTAAATAATTTAAAAACTAAAATGAAATAATTTGAAATTGGATAATGTATTTATGTAAACATTGTCCAAAATCTGAGAGCCTTTCCTAAAGTTTATTTGCTCCAGTGGCGGAGATACAGGGTATCGGTGGCATATTTTTCTAAATAAAATAGTACGCCACGGCTTTACGGTAACAATCATGATATTTTCGTATTCCTCTTTCAATTTTCTACAAATTACTACTCTCTTATCTTTTTGTAAAGAAGCCTGAATTTCGAGTAAAACTTAAAAAACAAACTGAAAACTTTTACTTAAATGACATGACGATTTACGTATGTTTAGTATTGGTTAGTAATTACTATACAATTACTGTATTAGATTATTATTATTATTATTATTATTGTTATGACAAACTAATCATTCAATTATTTAATCGAATAAAGAAACTAATAACATTAGCCATCATTTTAATGATTTTATTTCAGTAAATTTGGACAAAATTTATTTTTATTTATTTAAGTATTATTATTTATTTTTTCTTATAACTGCTCAGGTGTTAATACACAAATTAATATTTGTTCACTGTATACCAGCCGTTTAACAGCACCCCACAAAAAGAGATCCGATGTTTTCAGTTCGTTTTTAAGTTTGACTCGAAAATCAGGCTTTTTTCAAAAAACACAATAGTAATTTGAGAAAATTGAAAGAGGAATCCGATACCTTGTATCTCCACCACTGGAGCATCTAAATTTTAGGAAAAGGCCTCAAATTTTTGACAATGTTTACATAAATACATGTGCCCAATTTAAAATTATTTCACTTACTAGTTTTTAAATTGTTTAAAAAAATTAAAAATATTTTTATAAGTCCCTGTATCTTTTTAACGAAGCGTCCTAATTAAAAACTTTATACCAGAGACTCCCCTTATAAATCATCAAGAAATATGAGGTTTTGTGTTTGGTCAGCATTTATGAATCACCCTGTATATATGTTTCAATGGAATTGTTGAAATATAAGGAAAAATTGGTCATTTTTAAATGCGACCGATCACTTATTGTGGTTACTGACCTTGTTTATTGATAAGTGATTACCATCACTGAACAGAAGTAATAGAATTTATAAAAATGGGAAATATAGTTCCAGTTCTTTATCTTATCAGAAAGGTAAGTTTTTTGCAAGTTTTTTCCCATAAATTTTAATATTCTGATCTGTTTCTGCATGATTAATCATTTTATTACACATTACCAACACATTTTCTAAGTAGGTACATTCGATTTAATTATTTAATAATAATAACAAATCAATGATTTGAAACTCAGAAATTTGTTACCAAATGTTTTTTCATGGAAATTATTGGAAATAATCACCATTTTTAATAAATCAGTAAATGATAATTGCACAAATTTCTCTGATTTTGAAAATTGTCTACTATTAAAGGGTCCCCGCACAAACCTTATGGGAAATGGCTCCCGGTTAAATTGGCTGAATTTTTTATATGTTACGTATCTCGGCATCCTGAACAAATGTCTTCATGGGCGCAAAGTCCTAAATTCCATGGGTTCCGAGATAAACCCACCTAAACCCTAGAAACCACCCCTACCAAACCACAGGCAGACCCTGGGAACAGTGAGTTTAGTCGCTTATTTTTATTGAAATAATTAAATTCCATACCACAAGCATGCTAATCCGCCTAAGGCGTCTACTCCCTATACCACCTAATCCCTAGAAACCATCCCCGCCAAACCACAATCAGGCTAACTCACCTAACTCTGGGAATGGCGAGTTTAATCACTTATTTTTCTTAAAATAATTAAATTCCACACCACAAGTGGGCTAACCCGCCTACCCCCTAACCCACCTAGTCCCTAGAAACCACCCCTGCCAAGCCACAATCAGGCTAACCCACGTAACCCTGGCAACAGCGGGTTTAATCGCTTATTTTTATAGAAATAGTTAAATTCCACACTCCATAAGCATGCTAACCCTACCAAATCACAAGCAGATAAACACACGTAACCCTGGGAACAGCGAGTGTAGTCGTTTATTTTTCTTAAAATAAATAAATTCCGCACTACAAGATACCACAAACCACTACTTGTGGTTTGGTAGGGGTGGTTTCTAAGGGCTACGTGGGTTAGGGGGTAGGCAGGTTAGCCCGCTTGTAGTGTGGAATTTAATTTCAAGAAAAATAATCGACTAAACTCGCTGTTCCCAGGGTTAGGTGGGTTAGCCTGCTTGTGGTTTGGTATGGGTGGTTTCTAGGTGTTAGGTGGGTTAGCATGTTTGTGGTGTGCAATTTAAATATTTCAAAAAAAATAATCGATTGAACTCGCTGTTCCCAGGGTTAGGTAAGTTAGCCTGATTGTGGTTCCTAGGCGTTAGGTGGGTTTATATCAGAACCCGTGTAGTTTAGGACTTTGCGCCCATGAAAACATTTGTTTAGGACGCTGAGACACGTAACATATAAAAAATTCAGAAGTAACTGGGTGACATTTCCCATAAGGTTTGTGCGGGGTCCTTTTTAAGTCTCTGTGACGTTATTAAAAATAGTGGTTACATCTAAGTATTTTTTTGTGAAAGAACATTTAATTACAAATTACAGACTTAAATTGCACTTTCTGAGCCTTAGCTAGGAATCTCTGCTCTGTCCTTGTTCTCAGCCTGGGCTCTGTTGGGGCGGACCCACTATCAGAATTCCTAAGTTTACCCTGTTGACAATTTCTGTCCGTGTTGCTGATTCTAAGACCGCTATGGACAGAGCCGCTCTTCTGGGACGTAATAACTCCTGTAACTGACCGCATCCAATGCTTCCAAATGCTTTACCATTATTCATTGTCGATGTCTTCAATGGTGACTCTGTTAAACCTTCGTGTGTTAGACTACGACTGCATGACTATACTATAGCCGCTTGATATGTCGTCACCGGTATTTGTGGGCATGCATTTAAGTCTGCACAGTAAAGTGGTAAGAGGTTCTCCTTGCGTTACCGCCGATGTCAGTAGCACTGCGCGTCTTTGGTCTGTCTTGTGAAGTGGGACAGAGGATGTTGCCTTGACTACATCCCCATTACCGCTGCGCGCGATACAAAATCTGCGCAATAAAATGATGGGTGTGGTCTTATATTCACCGCTCAGGTATCGCTCGTGTCGTTGAGTATGCTTTCCGGCCTCTGCAGTTAATATTAGTATCCCTTTTTTCATGCGAATTTATTTGTAATATATCGAGGGTTTCCTGCCAGAAGGGCGTATCAACCAAACATTATTTTTCAGGAATTAATAAAAACATTTCAAAAATCAGTAGTAAAATTTTAAGAGTTTATTTATTAACTGTTGATTAGTATATTTATCGCATATTATTATCTGCTTAGCGAATTGTTTGAGAACAACAGGTACAAACTTGACTAAGTACTTTAACTTGTAACTGAAGAGTAACCGTATGTAAACACAACAGAAAAATTGAGGTTATGAACACCAACTAACTCGACGCATACTAGTGAATGCCATGAAATTTTGTCATGCCAGAAAGCCATATGTTGTATGTATCGTATATACCAAGGCGTGCCTTAAGTCAGACCAGAAATGCGTTGTTATATAAAGGTCTTGATCAGTACAACAGATTGCCAAATGATATCAGGAATGTTGTGTCATCGAGATTTAAAAAGAAAATGTTAGAGTATGTTAAGTCGATTTATTAGTAATGTAAGTTTGTTTCCACACTGTTCCCCGGTATAATTTTTAACTAGCTTATTTAGTTTAATTTTATTGCATTATAAAAAGTTATATGGAGTCAAAATTGTTGACAACAAAAATTTTTGTATATTAGGATGTTTCCTATTTCAAATAAAAATAAAGATTATTATTATGTTCATATGACCTAGAAAATATATGTAGTTTCATTACAAAGGGACGTATACATACAACCTTCTGCCAGGTTAATCCAGGTAATAATTGTTCATACGACCAAGAAAAGGATTGCGTGGCGCTGTTACTATTGGTATGGTAGGTAGATACGACCTTTTGTCGCGACAAACTTATGGTATTGGGTATCAAAGTTAACTCATAAACCCAAAATGGCACATTTGTGGATACGTCCTTTTGGCAGGAAACCCTCGATATCTTCAGCTCAGCGTCAACTTGACGCTGGCCAGAATCCCAGGATTTCGATGCCATCAAGTCTTTTGGGAATCAGATAAGTGTGTTTAATTTTTAATATTATTTCTCTTTATTCCAAAAATCAGCTATATATGAGTTACACGTAAGAGCGATTTTAAATCTTTTTAATGCATGGAATATTGAAATAAAATAGTATGAATAAATATGTAAAATTTTTTATTCTCATCCGCATTCTTACAATTACCATCATTCGATTAATGAAAAATAATTGATCATGGATATTTGTGATTATATAAAATAAAAACGTTATTCAACTGAACTTAATAAAATGGTTAACATAAAGAAATATCCTGGTAGCTTACGCTTTCTAAACTCGAAATCTGGGAATACTGTGGTACTAAACTATTAAATCTGACATGATAATGCAAATTTTAACATTTTCTGCGACATTTACATGTAATAGAGACGAGTTCAAACCATACAAACTTTTAATTACTTTATAAAAAAAAGCTTTCGTAGAAGTAGTTGCCATACTGTATTTTATGGGAATGTAAAACCTACGGTTATAAAAATTATTTACAGTCAACATTTTTTAATATCATGGTAGGCCCGACAGCGTAAAGTTGGCAACCGAAGCAATTTCTCTAACCATATTTCTTCAACTGCCCTACACTTAATAAATAATTTTATAAATATTTAAGATCACAATTTGGCTAAATTAAAGAAATATGCCAAAGAATGGACAACTTTTTAAAGCTATTACGGCCCGATGGCAGAAACGTGAAAGGAACTGCTGGTTCTTCAACTCATTAAAACGTAAAAAACTATATTTACACAATTCCATTTTATATTTAAGATATAAGACATATATCTGATTAAATATATACCACGTACATTCATTTTTTTATAAATATATATATGTAAAAATTGTCCGACATAATTCTAAAATAATTTAACAAAACGTTTAGAAACATCTCTTTTCCGCAATATACAAAAAAAAAGAAACATTTGAAATATAAGTAATAAATTTTAAGAAAAGAGCATGTCTAAAAATATTAACATTTTATTTTTGCAAAATACATGATACCAATAGGGGTTCAAATGATAATATTGTCATCATGTGTTTGCATTTCATGAGCAATAGAGATACTGCACATTTTCTCACGGCACCACTCCTACAAATGCCATTAGTTTTAAATAGTTCATATAAAAAATTAATAATCATCTAGATCGAATTCCTCTCCATTTTCCAAATCTTCTAGCTGCAGACTCTGGAAGTCTACTTTGTATCGCAACAAACCTAGAATAGAAAAAAATCGTTTATAAACACGGAGAAACATCTAAAATGGATCCGTTCTCACACAGATACATTTATCCCTTTTCAATACTATACATATTAACTTGAAGCGTAACTACAATACAATGAGGAGATAATGTGTAAAGATTAAGACCTCAAAATTCTTAGCATTTAGATAAAGGCGAACCCTCACAATCCAATTACGAGAATTTTTATTTTTCCGAAAATGTCTATTAAAATATTTGCTAATATTTGCCGACAATAACCTGATAGTAAGCAGTTAACTGGCAATAAGAAAACTGTCATAATCAAAACACACTTGAAAAGCTTTGTCAGTAAAAAGGAAAGCATAGTTTTGTGCAGATTTAAACTGTCGGAGAAAGGGCATGCATAATTTACATATTTATTATACAAACGCTTGATAAATTCAAAATATTAATTATTTTGCAAATATCTTAACTGTAAAGTACTATGAATATTGGTACTGGTAATGAAAATTCCTTAGATCTTGGCTTCATCAATATTAATGACTCGTTTACAATGACCAATGACAAAATGTTATGTCTACACATGAGATAATGCGGTTGCTGATTGGTTGAATAGGTAGTTTTTTAATGCAACCTTGATCTTACTATTTCAATAATTTTTAATTCTACCAAAATTTAATTTCCAACATGAAGGAAATAAAATTACTGTTACAAACAAAATTACTGGTGAGGTGGCTTGTAAACATTTATGAAAGATCATACTCTCTTCTGTACTTTAATATAAAAAATATACATTCTGTTAAGTTACATCTACAATTTTATATAATCTAACAGATTGTTACTGAATGTTCCTCACAATTTTACCAATAAAGGAATTATTTCTAGTGGTATATTTTTCAATGTTTTCAGTAAATAAAATAAAGAAAGACTTTTTGAATTATCTTATATAGGGTGATTCAGGATAAATTATCTAAAACATAATTTCAATTTGGGTGGTCAAAATAAGGAAAACAAGTTCTATGAAGGTATGTATAGAAACGTGTTTTTGAGATATAGAATGTGAAGTTTTAAAAGAAAATTTCTGTCTCTGGGGACGATAGAAACTTATGCTGATGATATACAAGATATACCATAAGCACATGATCAAAAAGGTACTGCAACATTCTTTGACTCAAAAGAAGACAGTCTGACCTAACTTCCATTAAGAAAAAATGTCTGGCTCCTCTGCTATTGATTATCAAAGTTCTTGAAAAAAATATGTTTTTTGTCTTTTGTAATATCTGGAGAATGTTCTGATGGATTTTAATGAAACTTACTGTGGACTTGTTCCTAAGCAAGAGTCATGTTTTGATGAAGCAACCATTTTTTTATTGATGCATCAGTCCTTTTTCGAGATTTTTGTGCTCTCTGTAAAATCTTGCAACATTTAGTTTTTCCGCAAAAAAATTTTTTCAATTTCAGACAATCATTATCACTACATACTACTCAAGTACAACAACTACACACTACAATCACTATTATCGTAGTAAGCGATGATATCCATATCATATCATATCATATCATTATAACAAATGAATTGTCAAACTTTTAACGAGGCAGACATAATACGGCATGAACCAAGAAAATGGCAGGTATATTGAACATATCTTGTAATTCCATCATCACCTATCGTATCTATGTAACTATCATCCAGTTTCAATAAAGAGAATTTTACTTTCAATATCGATATCCTAGGTAAAAAATTGGCATAATTATTATTAGAGAAAGCCGCTTCTTGTAAAAGGGCAGATTTACAGTGATACGTCTAAAATTGTCGTCACAACGAAACAAAAAATATTTTTTTGCGTAAAAACTATAAATGCTACAAGATTTTACTAAGAGCACGAAAATCTTGAAAATGAACTGATGCATCAACAAAAAAAAAATTAATTGATTCCACTGACCAAATAAAACGTTCTGATAATTCTTGTAGCAAGACACTTAAAAATTTACCACTTGCCCAAGGCGGATGGACGCGATTGCTTCACCAAAACATGAGTCTTACTTAGGAACAAGTCCACAGTGTTTTATTAAAATCCACCCTAACATTCTCCAGATATTACAAAAAACCTAATTTTTTTCAAGAACTTTTGACAGTTAATAGCTAGACATTTTTTCTTAATGGAAGTTAGGTCAGATCGTCTTCTTTTGAACCAAAGAATATCGCAGTATTTTTTTTGATCATGCGCTTATGGAACACCCTGTATAGTCAAATAGTCAGTATCATTAAAAATTCAAATAATTCGAACAAATTTGGAAATTCAATTCAATTGTACTCCTAGTGGTGTTTCCAAGATAACGTAAAATTTCCTAATTTGAAAAACAAACCATTGTAATCATGAAGTCAAAAAAAATCATTGACACAGGTATTTTACATTTACAATTTGTAGAAATCTGAAAAAGCAAAATTTCTATGTCGAAGGTTTTTTTAAGCTTTCAAGATCACAACAATTTAAAATCAAACACATTTTAAATACTTTTTTTTAGTGATTTCATTATACTTGAAAATGATTTGTTTTTCGATAAAATGGAAAAGACCTTTTTTCTTATAACCACCACTTAATTACAAGCAGTTTCCAATATACCTAGCGGTAATCAAATTTTTGAAGTCCTTAGAGATATTTCCTGTATCCCCTGACTATACAGGGTGTTCTTTTATTCGATTTCCAAACTTCTAGAGAGTGTTCCTTGGCCAAAATTAATACAATACTTTCAAATGCACATTAGGGACCAATTTCAATTACTTACGAAGATGTAATAGCTGAAGATCATTGATAATTTTTTAAATATCTTTTAAATCAGTTATTAAACTATTAGTATCTGTATAGATTTTTTGCTGCTGATGACTATTTACAACCTCAAAAAATAAGTTTCATGGAACTCACCTTTTCATGTCCACCGTCACAACAGTCAAATTTGTTTTGACTCTTGGAAATGCATATGGTGTAGCATGAAAGTCATAATAGAAAAATGTTGCCAATGAACAATTGTGTTCGAATAAAACTAAATGGTACTCTTTCTAAATATTAAAGATAACTATTGAAGATATTGCATATTAATATCATTTTATTTGAAAACCATGTTCTTTAGTAAATTTTTTTAGAGGCAGTAATTTTTTCAGTTATCTCTTTCTCAACATGAATTTTTTAAGAGAGGAAAAAAACTCATTTTTTTTGCTAAGGTGGCTAAGAAAATGTGGAATCTATGCAACAACATTTTTTGAGACCCTGTATACATACAACTGATTTAAAAATTATCAATAGATCATCTTCAAAGTGCCCATATTTTCATGAGTTGAAATTGATCCCTTTGATTGATGAATTGATCGGTTTTCTTTCAAATTTTTGTGTTCATTTTGATCAAGGAACACCTTATTAAAGTTTTGCAGTAGAAGAATTACGGGACATATACAATTAGATAAACTTTAACCTCAAATTTCTGAAAACAGAGTTTTCAATATTCCTTCATATAATTTGTTTATTTTGATCACTCAATTTAATTTTTACCTGCCCATACATCAAATATCAAACAGTTTACCTAAATAGTAAAGAGGGATTTCTATTTCTACGAAACACACAAAGCAAAAACAATAAATTCATATGTTTAGGAACGAAATATTTCCTAAGAAACTGAAAAATCACAACGAATTACAACTACTATGAAAATGTGCACAACTAACACATAAAACACTGGACTATACCTTGAGTTTGCAGAGTCCAAGGATAAAATAGACCTTTAGTAATCATCAAGGTCTACATCATCCAAAGGCTCATCGGCTTGCAATGACTGAAAATCCACTTTGTACCGAAGAATGCCTAATATATCCAAGCAGCATAAAAACAAAAGTTTTTCGAGGTTAGTGTCGGGTTAGGAAAGAGTACGGCTCGCATATTAGCAATAAAAAAAGGTCCTACTCTCTAAAGAAAATTTTAGTAATTTCTAAAGACAGACAATAGATAAAATTTGTAGATATTATTTTATGAACTATTTCGATGTATTTAATTAAACATTCTATTGTCTGTAATATCTATAGGAATGTTTGTCAGTCTGAGAATTATAAAAGATCAAAAAGTTGCATAAAAGCTTTATCATAGTTAATATTTAATGAGAGCGTCTATCTGTAAAGAAGTTAACATATTTTTCTTCAATAATCTTAAAATTAGTTAGTATGTCTATAAGTGTTGCATACATTTGACCAAAAATCAAGAATTTCTTGTTGGGAGAGGGGTAGGGACCTCGTCGTTTTTTGTTTAAAAATTTAACATAAATTGCTACCAATTTTAGGATTGAGTTCATTAATACCAGAAGTTTATATTTAAAAAACTTGATTGGCAGGATTGATTTTATTAATTTTTAAACACAAATAGTTTTACGAAGTTTTGAATTAGAAAGTCTATTAAATTGTTCTTTTAAAAGTTATTAATGAATTTTTCAAAAATAATACATAAAAAAATCCTTTATAGTTTCTGCATTGTGCAAAAATTTAGAATATTCCACTCATAAGGTTAATGGTATAAGTTTCTGTGACACTTTTTTTAAAACTCAATATTTTGATTTAGTAGATTTACTATGTGTAAGAAATTGCACTTACAAAAACAGAATCATCAAATTATTGAGCAAAAAAATAGCTAAACAGCCTAGTCAGGGGGCATAAGACAAACAATAGACGGCACCTTAAATTTTTTATAACCATGTTTATAGGATAATCTTTTCTCTCCCCCTGAATCTGACTGCTGCTTTTGACAATTTTTTTTTATTTAATTAAATTAGAGCATTAATTTTTCCATTTTTCTTTCAATTTTTTCTGTATTAACAGATTTAAATCTAAGCATGTGTACTCGCTATTTATTAGTCGACTTACTGCGCCTGATGCAAGGGCTTTTTTAAAGCCCATTGTGCAGCGAAAAGATTAAATGAATATTGTTTATAAATTTTTTATCAATTTTCTAATCAAGAAAACCTATTAGAGCCGGTTTTTCAATCTCGGGTTAACTAATTGTTACTTTTTGTAGTGGAAATTTCATAATTAGTAAAGAAAAAAAAAAAAAAAAATTAAGCATGAATTTATAAATTCATTATTTGTTAAAAGCTTGCATGTTAACAGAAAATTATTGCTTCTTCACCGAAACATAAGAAAATAAAGCGACAGTTAGCCAACGATTGAAAAACCAGCCCTTAGGGCTTCAGAATTTTGTTTTTTTTGTTGTGGGTGTTATCAATATGTATCAAATTTGAAAAAATGCTCCGTACAAGTTACTGCTAAATCTTAATTTAAAAAAAATAGATGTGTAACTCCACGATTATTGAGTTTTTAAAATAATGTTATAGGAATTTGTACAACTATCTTTATCATTAGAATCACTCCCTAAATTTTCTGCACTTAATTTGAGACCACTCTGTACTTGAAATAATAAAAAACGTGTCTAAACATTTTCTTTAAAAAAAACAAAACCTAAATATTCGAATTTATACATTATTTTACAGACACACTGAATGTGGAAGATTGGTGTTGAACTGTATAGCATATAGAGATTTGAATAACCCTAAACTGTCCTTACTCTTCTGTGCAAATCACTCGATCAATGTACAAAGTTATTTGCATAAGATTCTGCCCTACCCCCGTCATCTTTTGGATTTTTTTTGTACTAAGAATAAGTTGTAGGAAATTTTCTTGTGATTTCAAAACTTTACTTAGAAATACAATCAAATTTTGGATATAATCTGAACACCTATTCTCTTGACACAACACCATGCATATTTTTTCTATTTTGGATAGAAACCTTTCTCAGGATTGCAATGATATAGAGTGTGTTTTACTTAAAGTCAGAGCACCTCCGTTTTTAGGTGTTGGTCGATTTCCAAAATTCTTTTTTTATGTGGTAGTCCTCAAAAAGGCCTGCTTTTTGATATTATATTTTTGACATGTGACCTTTTCTACGGCCTACTATCATTAAGAAAATACCCTCAAAAATTAAAAAAACTTATTAGGCATTTTTTTAAGAAAGAAATGGATAGCATTTTCAATATGATCACACCTCAAAACCCTAATTACAAATTTTCATTATTATAGCTTTTACAGGGTGTTCACAAAATAGGTGCAAACTTCGAAAAATTGCAGTGTCCTGTATGAACAGTGGAAAATATTTTAAAGATATTCTATCATAATTTTATCAACCAAAGGTATATCCATGCAGTTTCATTGATTTCACTCATACAGGGTGCTCACAATACGACAGCCAAATTATATATTTCTTTTATTATACCAGAAATGAGTTTCACAACAAAATAATATTTAAATATTACTATTTTCTATTAGCCCACCATTATTTGGTACGCACTGTTTAATTCGTCCCCTCTTATTTCTAATAACTCTCCTCAACTGATGTGGTGTTATTTGTCGAGATGCTTGTCTATTACATAAATCTTCTCTGTTCTGGGGCCTTGTTTTATACATTATCTTTTTTACAGTTCTTCCTAAAAAGAAATCAAGAGGCGTCAAGTCTGGAGCTCTTAACGGCCACTCAAGTAACGGACTGTTGCGACCTATCCACTTTCTCGGGAAATACTCATTCAATCAATGACATACTATTACCGCATTATGAATAGGTGCTCCATATAATTGAAGGTAGAGGTTCTGTCTTACATGAAGAGAAAATGCATGAATCCCAGAAATCATTATTATAAAAATTCATAAAAATCTCTGCGTTTAGATTAACGTAAAAAAAAGAAGGGCCCGATTATCCGATCACATAAAATCCTACAAAACATCTTAATTTTTTTAATTAAGATTTATGTAATATAATTAGACAAGTATGTCGACAAATAACACCACATCAGTTGAGGAGAGTTATTAAAAATAAGAGGAGATGAATTGAAGAGTGCATTCCAAATGATGGTGGACTAGTCTATTTTGTATTTAGGATTGTGAGGTGTGATCAAATCGAAAATGCTATCCATTTTTTTTCTTAAAAAAAATGCCTAATATGTTTTTTAATTTTTGAGAGTATTTTCTTAATGATAGTAGGCCGCAGAAAATATCACGTCAAAAAATATAATATCAAAAAGTAGGCCTTTTTGAGTACCACCACATAAAAAAAGAATTTTGGAAATTGGCCAATGTCATCCTAAATACGGAGGTGTTCCGACTTTAAGTGAAACACACTGTATAAGAAACGATAGACGTATTTTTAATAATAAGAGATACGACCAAAAGAGCCTAAAGAGTTTATTGTTAGCATACTCTCTTGGCCATATTTTCCTTATTATTAGAAATATGTCCATTAACTTATATTATAGGGACGTTGAATAAGTTCTCGTTTTCCAACAGATGGCGCTACAAGAACTGCAAGTTTAGTTCAAGACGGTAACACACCTATAGAGAAAGACTAAAAGCAAGCTTGAAGTTCAGTGTATGTTATTTTGCCGAATTACTCTTTTTTATTTCAGCTAAACATGTTGAATTTTATGACAAAAAGAGTATTTGCAGAGATTTTTACTGCATTACTTCATTCAAAAGAAATCTTGAGCAGAAGTACATAGAATTCCCGCTGAGACTTATGGCGACCATGCTCTATCGCAAAGAACACGCGGAGATTGGTTTAGACGTTTCAAAAATAATGACTATGATGTTAAGAATAAAGAACGGTCTAGCGCACCAAAACAGGTGAAGGTGAAGGATTGGAAGCAGTAATTCATGAAGACACCATGTCAGACGCTAGTTGAACTTACAGAATCATTAGGAGTTAATCACACAACTGTTTTGAAACATTTGAAAGCATTAAGAATGATTCAAAATCAAGGATATTGATTGCCATACGAATTGAAGCCGAGAGACGTTAAACGACGGCTTTGCAAGTGTGAACAGCTGCTTCAACGGCAGAAAAGGAAAGTTTTTTTTGTATCATATCGTGACTGGCGATAAATGCTATGATAATCCTAAGTGTAGAGGATTGTGGGGTAAGCCCAGCCATGCGTCAAATTCGTCGGCAAAACCAAATCCATGGTTCCAAGCTTCTGCTATGCATTTGGCGGGATCAGCTGGTTTATTATGAGCTGTGTGATGGACAATACTTTTAGTGACGTTTTTTTACTAATTTTTTTAAACCGAAAAAACAAAAAGAACTTATCCAACATTCCTTTTCCTGAGGAAATGTGAATCTAAATACGTAAAAATGTAGTGTTCTGTTTAAAGAAAATAAAGGTTTAATAAATATATTTGAAAGGCAATATTCAATAGTTTTTCTAAGTACACTTTTAAAATCACAAGAAAACCTCCTGCATTTTGTGGCCATACAAATTTTTTCTAAATATAAAAGGCACATAGAATGTTATGTGTACACAGATAAAAGTGGTCAATCAATCAAATGCATATTTTTCAGTAGATAGTTTTTTCTGTTAATTTACTTTTGGTTTTACCGTTTGCTGCCTGTTCTATCACTCTTATTTTTTAAAAGAACAAAAGAAACTGACATGAAATATTAAGAGCATGTGAATACAACAAGAGCAATAAGTTTTTAGTAATTTTGTTTTACGTGACAAAATGTTAGTGTAGTTAGTTACAACGTACATAGTTAGAAATTTTTAAAGGTTAAAACCATAAATCAAACCATAAATATTTTATGGCTGCAAACGTCTATTTAGTGATGCAAACATATTTAAACCGACAAATATACTGACCTCCAATTCCTCCAAAACCTCTGACGAATTGCGAACCTTCCTGTGATTTATCGGTAATGATTTCTAAAGTAGCACCAAAGTTCTTATAATTATTAGCAAGCCACTCGAGAAGCGGCTGACATTCTACTAATTCCAATTCTACACCAGTCTGCAAAACACAAAAACATATTTGTAAAAGCGATAGTATAAAAAATTTCATGACAAACTTTTTTTTAGACACTCACCTCTTTGTCCGTGAAATGAGATTTATCTTTTTCTTGTTCGGGTGTAAGGTGCAGTATATTTTCTGATCCAGTCGTATGGTTCTTTAATACGTATCTTTGGATATCAAGATTTTCCCAACAAATTAGTGTTTCAACAGCACCTAATTCAAGACCTCGAAGCGTATCTTCAACACCAAAGCAGTATTTGCCAGTATCTTGACTAATTTCGTCGAAATATCTACCAATAAGCTTCTTTTCTTGAATGAATTTAACATTTTGTAGGGATTCGGCGGCTAATTCTATTGCTTGGTTAAAACCATTTTCACCCCCATAGGAAACATCTACTAATTTGATTACTTTAGCTTGCAGTCTCTAAAAATATAGAATATAATTAAGGGAGAGTTTGTTTCCACCTCTCATTAAAATATCTAGGAATTTTTACTTGCTACATGAAACAATTAACGTAGTTGTTTTTGTCATCAAATAAAATAAATAAAAGTGCAAATCTGATTAATGTCGTTAAGTTTTAATAAAGGGCTAAAATTTTAAGTCTAAATATTGCAAATCACTTAAAAATTTAATATCCATTATTTTCCTTATACAGGAGTTATGTTTTAAACCCTACTATTTCATAGCTGATAAACTTTCAATGTTCAACCTAACTAAAATATGAGGAAAAGACAATTTTTAAGAAGAAATAGGAATTTTAATTTGATTAATATAAATTACCAAATTAAAAAAATAATATCAAGCTTAGGTGAAAAAATTAAAAATGTGACAAATACAATAATTGAAATACATATGTATGGAACGATAAAGAAAATTCTGGTATATCAATATTGTAAAGAATCATTACATTGTTTGAGTTATCTTTAAGGCACCTAAGAAATAAATAAGTATTTGTATTTTCAACCTCTCTTGAACAGAAAAATATACAAGATGTAACTTTGAGTGGGGGTCATATTTATACAGAGGCTTCCTTTGACCTTTAGAAACATGTATCAATAGTTTATTTTTTCAAATTCCGTCGTAAAAACTGATTTTTTTTTAACCTTAATAATTTTCATATCCCGCCGCTGGAGAAGCTAGCGTAACCTCAAATAATGGCTCGCTTTAGTAGCAGCACATGCACAATTCGACATGATTCGCCGAGAGTTACTTTTGTTGAGTGGGTGTTTGCCACACAAACAGTAATTAACAAGTAACCTATCAAAAAATTCAAGCAGTAATCAATGAAATACACAAAAATAAATAGGCTGTTGATGGCTTCCAGCGAAGGAAAACATTTAAATACACAGATGTACTGCCTCCAAATGTGGAACAACTGATGCCTCTCGCTTCGTCACCGTTGACCCGCATTATCTCCCTTCACATGCACTGTAAGTCGCCTACAATTCATGTATTTGTAATACATGAATATTACAGTGGAGGTAGATAAGTATTAAAGTGCATTTTAAGAAACTAATTATAACTGGACTATTTATTTGATTAAAAAAAAAAGAATTTCAGATTCATATTCAAGAGAACAAGTACTATTACCCCTAAAAAACTGACAATTACTTAAAGTTACACCCTGTATATGTGACCCCTTTAAGAACATAGAATATACCAATTAATTTGAAGCTAAGAAAGGTATTTTCACTATGGAATATAGAAATTATAATGTTCTGTGATTCAATATTCCGAAATTAAAACTAAGATATTTGAACTACTCTATCAGAAGTTTGTAAAAAAAATCTTAAATAATATTTAACGGTTAAATAGAATGGAGTGTTAGTCACCTTTACACTAAAAATTAAATATGGAAAAAAACTTCTCTGTCAATTAAAAAAATATATAAAACCAGTGATTTTTGCCGCCAGAACTGACATCCTCCTCAATTGCATCGTCTATTAATAGAACGTTCAACTAAAATCTCATACCGCTGTCTCTCATTTTAATAACTAATAAAGAGACAGAGAGAAGTTACCTAAACGATACGGGTTCTGTAATAACATGTCATAGCCTCACGGATTTCTTAAATTAAACTGGATCGCCGTTTCTTAATAGCATTTCTGTCATTTTCCAGGTGGCAGACATACTGTGCTAAAACTCAATTGGTGGACTTTTATCCAATAACAATAGTGTGATTACCGTGGAAAATTATGAAATTACTGGAGTAAACAGTTAAATACATATTGCGCAATATTTTTCCTAATAGTTTCCTGTTTCCTGTGAATACTTGTTCTACAAAAATAATTGTGACTAGCTATTGAAATCATATCGCAAATTTTTAAATGCCCATAACATGTATACCGGGTAGGAAAGTACCGATGGTCTATCTGAAGTTACGTGAGAGCTATAAAGTAAGCCATAGAAATCCATGCGATAGAGAAGGATGGCTATAATGAAGGCGTCTCATAGTCACTGCCCGTTTCGCCCTTCCACAAATAAGATCCACTTCTTATTTGAGGAAGGGCGAAATGGGCGGTGACAATTAGACGCCTTCACTATACCCATCCTTGTCTATCACATGGATTTCTATGTCTTACTTTATCGCTCTCACGTAACTTCTGATAGACCATCGGTACTTTCCTACACTGTATTGTATACATATCATGTAGTTATGTAGGAATTTAGATGCGTTCAAATAAAAACTAGGTATAATGGATTTCTGGAACTGGTATTAGATTCAAAATTACAACCAAAACGTTATTACATAACATTTTGATCTACAAAAAACATTTTTCAAACGGAATAGAATTACAATTGCCATCAGAATAAGCAGTTAGCAGTCAAATAAAATATTGGTAAAACGATGTCCTATCACACTCAATGTAGCGCACATCGATTTTAATCAAATCGATATAGCAAATTCATAACGGTAACACTCTGCTGAATGTGTTGAATGCTTTATATTTAGTTATTTTCACAGGTATACCAATCATCATAATTATAATCCCTAAACTTTAGCACAGTATGGCGACCACGTAGTTGCAGTCATTTGTATTTCCCCCACCTTATACTATCAGCGATCCAGTTTAATTTAAGAAATTTAAAATCAAATAAAAATTTATATAGAGTTTTTAGCAAAATTGCTTACACAGTTCGCATTAATTTTAATTATTGTAGAATGGTATTCAGTGACAAAAACATTATACTTTTTATGCAAACACCCCATTTATCAAATAATATAATGTTTAGTTTGTTAAGTGTTAATACATTTTCAGTTTCCGAAGAGCAGACAATAATTTTCAGATTTAATTTTTTTTATTTTTGGTTTCTAGAATGTAACTTTAAATTATTTCAAAATTTCAATGTCAGATAGCGACGAATTTACAACTTGTTGTCATTTCTTTGAATTTGTAAAATGGCATGAAGAATTTTCCACTCGAAATCCCTCATGCTTCGCTTTCTGAATTTTCTTATGTGCAAAACTCACTGGACATATTTCTTAGAAAAATATACTGACACGTTAAAACTTTGTTAGCAATTTATGTAGGTTTGGATATTACTGTTGAAAAAATTTGTCTACGATAAGCTTACGGTCTCATAACTCTCCCGCAAGCAAATGTGACTAAAAATCACGTTCACTTAGATACAATAACTTGACTAAATTTACTTGGTATAATTATTCTGTAAAAGGAAACAAATGTAAGGCAATTAAATCACTCAAAATGCATACTTTCACTGCTTGTCCTTGTGCTTATAGATCATTATACATGTATATTCACTTAATTACCATAAATCTTAATTTTAACACATGGTTTGAAATGTTGGGTGCGTTATTAGTTTGTTAAAATTTTTTTTGTTTTAATTAATACTTACAGGATCAAACATATCGGATTGGCTCAGCTCAGTCTTGAAATCAGCACTACCCGCCAATATCAACCCAGCTATATTGGGCTTGTCGTTAGTAATAAATAATTGTGTAGCGACTTCGGCGACTTTTCTGACATAATTATGCCTTTTTTCCATTCTCAACCGGGCAAAACGCAAAGCGGACTGACCACCTCTACCGTGCTTCTTCGGTAGATCTACAGTAAACTTGTGCAGTACTTCTCGTGTGTTTCCTTGAAGTGTACCAAAAAGAGCACCATTACCATCCATTACAATGAAACCAAATTTGTTGTCATCAGCCAACAGTGCCGTGAGGGCTTCTGTGTGGAACTTATTATCGCATAAGTACAGAGAGGTATTTATTGGTTTAAAAGGTTCAAAATCGATGTTGACTTTCTTTTCCTTTCCTTCGTCAGTTACTATAGTTCCACAGTATATTACTAAGCCATTAGGAGGTACTAAAAAAATGATTTATTATAAAACTATTAAATGTCATCGATATAGCTCAATATGAAAACTTTAATAATACAACAAAATCATTTATTTTATCTACAGTATATAATTTTTTTAACACTTTAACACGAGATGTTTTTGATGTAGAATGTGATGGAAATGCAGGCAACACTACCTTTCCACCACGCATCATACCTTCAGGGCTTAAATAAATTTTGGTTTAACTGTATTTAAGAACATTTTCTAACTAGGAATATAACGAAAAATGAAATTTGGATTATAAAAAATTTAACAATATCAAGAATTTATATTTTAGTATCAACCTATTAACAGCACATTTATTTGTAATTGTATGTACTTAACTACAAACCTGCAGTTAGTTATGTCCTAAGCCACAAGATTATTGGTCTCGTATGACAAGTAGGTAACCATCAAGATCCAAAAAAGTTCAATGACCTTTTTTCGATTTGGTTCATAGTACATTTTATATCCAACAATTTTCAATAAAATTTTGCAATAGTATTACAAATGTTCATATTTTTTAATTCGTTTTAAAGTTGTAAGACATTTTCATTCAATACATTTTATCGTAATACTTAGTACTTACACAATAATAATAAATACATTTGACTGTAAACTTTCCAAAAAGTAAGAAAATGCTTATTTATAAATATCCGTACATTTTTTTTAATTACAAGTGACTATAGCCTTCACTATAAAATTGAAAATTATCCATATGTTATGTTGCACGATGACAACACTAAACCACACAAAACAGAAAAGCTATGGATTATTAATACAAAATCAGTTCAGTTCATGTATGATAACATATATTACGATGCGAATTGTCATTTACAAATTTGTATAAGATGAAGTTATATATTTTGGTGAAAAAAGATGCAACTTACCTTTTGTGTACAGTTTTAAACGATGCTGTACAGATGTTATAGCTCCAAGCACAGACAATCTATTAACTCGTGATTTAATATTAGAAGCAGTACCAAATTCATCGGCTAACATTTTGCTAACTCTTGAAATTTGATCCTTAGGAGGAATGATGAGAGATATCATACTTGTTCCATTTCTGCAAGCAATAAATAGATATTCTCAAAACTGTAACTTACTTTTATAAAGGCAATATGTTTTGGTGAAGATTGGTGTTATTTGACTTACCCCCTAGCTAATTCCAAGCTTTTGATAAGTTTCTTGATTTTCCATATTTCCACATTTCGATCGGCTGAAGTTTCTTCTCCTGACATTTTTTAATCAAGTGTAACAAACAAAAAACCAAGAAAAACGTGTATCTGAAGCAAAATGGCGCGGACCCAAAGCCGACGAACTATTTCAAAGGGACCGAGTGGCCACTTTTCGCTGGTTATTCAGGTAACTCAACTCAACTGGTTATAACTAGAAAATTACAGAAAGAGCAATGTGTTCCTGGAACAAAAAATGAGAATTGAAAATTGATTGTACTTACACAAAAAGTGAAATTGCTGGTATTTTACATCATATCAATTAAATGGAAATTTAAAACTTCTAATTTTATAAATTGTACTTTAAATTTTACTGCATTGTGATTAGGTAAACTAGTTCATTAATCTTTTTACAGTTGGTGACATCGAGACCCAAACTTCCATCTATTGGCTGCACTTGTTATTCTCATCCTCTACATTTGACGTGTGTAGAACACACATGCGCAATCTACTGATTTTCTTGGTTCATTCTAGTTATATCTAGCGTGCCATGTGCTTTTGACATTTAAATGTGTCATTCTGATATTGGTGTAATGATACATAAACATTATCCAAATTTATTTAAGTATTTGAGTTTAACATTCATTGGAACCAGGTAAAGTATAATATTCAGTTAAACAATAAATTGTAATCGTTTATCTATAGTGCAGGATGGGTTTATTATCAAATAAAAAGGACTCAAGATATATTAGAAACTGCAGTGGATACTTCAGTTTTAAAAATAAAAGGGGTAACTGTTCAACAGGAGGAAAAACATATAGAAGAATTTTTTGAAGTTGAACCTTACTATCCTTATGAACAAAGTAGTACTCTGAGAAATATTTGGGATACACTAAAATTTGCTTATGCCCGTAGACTGGTTAGATTAGCTAATAGTGACAACAAAATATTTAGAGTAAAGGCAATAAAACAGTTAGCTCAAATAAAGAACTTGGATAAATGGCACTGTGCCCTTCTCGCAAATATGATTGACCCTCGAACTGCAGTAGCATTAGCAAGATCTGGTAGTGCAGACAAACGTCTGTTTATGGAACCTCCTCTGAGATATCACAATTATAATCGTGATATGATCATAAACGCGATGAGAGAATTTTTAATCAGCTTATTTGAAAAATCTCAGCATCTTTGTATGGGATATTTTTTATCTAAGGCTTTTGTTTATGAACACGTGAGTAGCCCCAAAATATATTAATTGATGATTTTATGGGTTGACGTTACTAAACTAAATTAATTTCAAAATTGTATATTCTGCTTGAAGATGCTTAATTGAAGACTATCGGGTTTAATTTCTGTTGTGCAAATGATATATATTTTTTTACTATCTGTGGATTAAAAGAAAAGAAACAAACGTAATCATTCATAAATTATTATCAGATAAATTGCAAAAGTGTCATTCTATTTTCCAATTAGTCTTATCTGAAAGTAATTTTTAATGACTCGGTAAAATATTCTTTAATCTGTTAATTTATGAAATAAATATTACATTTTATCAGTTTAAAGTAGTCACTGGATATATTGTTTTATAATTCAATTATTTATAATTTTCACATTTAATTAGATATATACAGGGTGTCAAAATAGTATTACACAAACTTTGAAGGCTGACATACTTGCCAAAATAAGAGAAAAAGTTCATATTTACATACCCCTCTAATATGCATTGTAGGGGTGTTATATGGTAAATTAAACAATTTCATTTTATTATTAAATTTGTTGACCTGTGTTAGATTTGATGAAAAATTCAGTAGTGTTAAAATTTTATTCACATACTATTAGAAGGGGTAGTTTAGGTGAGTGAGGTATGTTTTCCATTATAACTTCAAGTATACCTATTTATAGATAGAAACTATTTAACTATTAAGACTAGTTGACGAAGTTTGTTATACTATTTTTTGACATCTTTGAATTAAACAAAGTGATGAGGTAAGAATTAACTTTGGGCTGGGGTACGTGTTAATATTATAATACTTTTGACGGAAAATAATAAGCAGTCTATTCAAGTTGATATGTTTGACTTAATTTAGTGTGAATATCTTTGTTAGTTTGGAAAATACAAAAAAATAAAGTTATTTTTTATTTTATAACCCTGTATTTCTGGAAAAATGTTCATATGATAAACTAAATTTAAAAATTTTTCATATTTTATTATTTTTCAATGCTACTAGTACATGGATCATCAGGTAAGCATTTTATTCACATGTAGTGAAAATCAAAATTATAATTATACTTATTAAAAAATTAAAAATTATAATTTGATTCTATATTAGTAATTTTATCAATCAATATTTTCTTTCATGTTGACTTTCCTTCTAATCCATTTCTTGGTTGTTATTTGTGGATACCTTTAACAATAATGACTGAATTTTAGGATAATTCGCACATAGTCGATCACGATTCGTCTTCTCTAGAATTAAGCAAGTTTATACAGTCTGAAAACGATGTATTACCAAAATGCTTGGAATCTTTACTGCATCATTCAACTATACAGAAGCATGCCAAAGATATTGTTGATTTAAACGGTTTACCATTGTTAATGGAAATTCACAATAGATATAAAGATAACATTAACATTACAATTAAATTGTGCCAGATTATATCATATATGTCACATGATAGAAGCTTTCTTCAACCTATGCATAAGTCAGGTTTGCATTTATAATATCTGTCTAAAATGCCTCAAATTCGAGTTCTTGCTAAATTATGTATTACACAAAAAAAGTAAAAATCTATTTTAAATTTTGATTAAATCAAAACTCGGATTGGAGGCGCCATATACATTCTTATTGATTAAGTATAGTAATATCTGTTCATAATTAGATATAATGCGAGATGCAGTTAGATGTTTTATTGTTATTATAAAATGGCATGTAGGAAATAGGTAACTGCGTTTTTATGAATGAGTTTTATATGCATGTATAATTTTATGGGATCAACTTATTAGGAAATTCAACAATGTATGTTATTCTCGGCTTATTAAGAATTACCTTTGACTAATTACTAAAGAAAGTATTTAATTGGCTCATATTTATTTTTTAAAACAATATCTTATAAACTATATATTACGTATGTATGTATTGAAATATCTCGGAAGAGTTTGACTTAAGTTGATGTAAGTTGACACACCAGTGGTTCAGGTCATATGCACCGACTACAGGGGGAGCTGAGAGGCTTAAGTGGCTTCTGAATATGTGCAAACATGAAGTAGCTGGCCTACGTAGCATATAAACTTAGCTGAGCCCCCCTGAAGATTTTAAAACTTGGCGCTTATGGTTCAGATACTGGGAGACACTGTCACTGAGAACACTAGAATTTCAGCGCCACTGAGTATTTTGGAAACTGAATAAGTGAATTTATTTCCTGCTGTGTAATTTAAAATAAGTTTAGAAGTCCAAACAAGTAACTGAAGTATACATTTTTGTTTATATCCATTGTATAATAAAAAAAATTGTATTTTGAATATTGTATAATACTTACATATTTAGATTTTACCAATTTGTAATTTTCACTGTAAATTGTTTAATTTCTTAATATATTCATATTAATAGCGATTTTTTAGCCTACACTTTAATTAAAATGGTTGACATTTTAGGTTGGATAGGCATATTATCAGAGTGGTTACACCATGAAGATATAAGAGTATCTATACCAGCAGCACGAGCACTTGCAAATCTAGATGTAGATAACGATGCAATTTTTTCACAACATTTGTATTTATTGCATCCAGTAACGAGGACAGTTAAAGATCAAGAATTAGATGTTATATTTGTACATGGATTGCTTGGAGGTGTTTTTTATACCTGGAGACAAAGAAATAGCAGTTTCAATACCTTGAGCATCATCGGTAAGAAAAATAAAGAAGGTATGGATTGTTTTACAGGCTTGCCGCATGTCTAAAGAGATATCCTTACATCCCATTCCTGTCATTACAATTTTGGTGATATCCTAAGCATGTAATAAAAATAAAATCTTATTAGAGTATTAGAAATTAATTTCATAATGAATGTATAATAGTCGCAATAATTTCACTTGATTGATACAGTTGTTAATGATAATTAACATTAATCAACATTTCAGAAAGTATTCTTCCTGACACTGAAACATGTGACCGTGAACCAATGACAAAAACTGTGAAAGGATTTTTTAAAGACTTGAAAGAGAAAATAGAACTTAACGAAATGTGCAAAGATTTTGAAATAGTTTACGATGATATTCCAGTAAAGACAAATGTAAATGCAGACGGGCCTTATACTTGTATGGGAGGGGAGTCCATTGAAGAATCAGAAGGATACACTCACTGTTGGCCTAAGGACTGGTTACCAAAAGATTGTCAAAATTTGAGAATTATAGGAATAAACTATAATACTAGTTTGTCAATGTGGGCACCTATCTGTCCTGCAGAAAAAGTTAAGTTTACATTAGAAGAACGAAGCGAGGTCTTATTGGAAAAGTTGTTAGCAGTTGGTGTTGGCACTAAACCCATAGTCTGGATTACACATTCTATGGGAGGTCTAATAGTGAAAAGGATGTTGTGCAATGGTTAGTAAGTTTGACTTGTTTAGGGTTACCAGATGTGAAACATGTAAAGTATGACAATTGTAACAAAAAAGGATGACTTTCAATGAAAAAGGAGGACATTTTTTGAACATTTTATTTTACTTTATTAGGAAAATAAAAGATACTTGTAAACACAAGTGAACTTAAAAAACATTGCATTTTGCATATATTGCGTTAACAAAATGGAACAAAAACTTCATAAAATATGTTGTGGGCATCCTTACATTCACTCCGTAGCTGCCGAATGTTATTGTTGAGTATCCGAGGATAATAGTATTGTTAAGATTGTGATTTTGATTGAAAACTAATCACGTTAATCTTGATTAAAATATTAAAAATTTTCAAGTAAGTGTCAGGTGCAGCAATTTTTATGGATAGTATTTTTAAAAATCCGGACAGAGGGGAAATCCGGCCGGACAATTAAATTTTCTTTAAAAAGGAGGACATGCCCTAGACTTGTTACATCTGCTAGTGATAAGCATGCAAAATAGTGATTTTTTGGTAATATTTCATATAGAGTGCCCAGAAAGGAATGTAGTAGTAGTAGTAGTAGTAGTAGTAGTAGTAGTAGTAGTAGTAGTAGTAG